TTTAGTAGAGACAGGGTCTTGCTCTTGCTCAGTCTGGTCTCAAACTCCTGAGCTCAAACAATCCACTGGCCTCGGCCTCCCAGAGTGCTAGGATTACAGGCGTGAGCCACTGCGCCCAGCCTCTTTTTAGGCTTTCTCATTCTTTACTGGTATTTCCATTTTGTTCATACATCATTTTCTTGACTTTCTCCAATTTTCTTTTAGTTCTTTTAACATCTTTAAGACAGTTGTTTTAAAGTCTTTGTCTAATAGGTCTCTATCAGGTCTTTTCAGGGACAGTTTCTGTTGATTTGTTTTTTTCCTTTGAATGTATCATTCTTTTCTGTTTCTTTGTATGCCTTGTGATCTTTTTGTTGAAAACTGGGCATTTGAATCTAGTATAGTATCTCTGGAAATCAGATTCTGTCCCTTCCCCAGAGTTTGCTGTTTTTCATTATTTTTTTAAATTGTTTTGAATTTTTTTTGGTTGTTATAAGCTGTCTTTTACAAGGATCTGCCTGAAATGTAAACTAAAAGTCTTCTGAGATCTTTTCTGAGCCTTTCCCTGGGCATTCACAGTCACTTTGTAATTTTCCCTGTATCTGCAGTTGCTTTTGAGTTTCCTGGTCTTCGATGTCTGGCTCCCAAAGGGGAAAAAGAGAAAACGAAAGAGAGGAAAAAAGGCACTAGCCCATTAAATCTTCTGGAAGTCACTTTAGCCAAAGAGGAAAGGCTTGAAACAATGTGAGGGGAGCTGTAAAAATGGCCACCCACCTGTTTGCACTTCCTTGATCCACAGCAGTGGGGGGTCAGAGGGCACAGATCTCCAACACTTAAGACAGACTCCTTTTTGTCCACTCTGTCTCTGGCAAGCTATGTGTAGGTTTGGGGTTGGAGGGTAGGTAGCTGCTACTGTGCTAAGAGCTGAGATTGACCTAAAATTAAGAACAATTTATTACCCAAGCCTTCCCTGGAAGTTGTGAGCCTTTGATAGACTCTAGAGTTCCAAAATAATCACATTAGATAGATTGTGCCAGTGTATTGGTTGCCTAGGTGGGGAAATAGATTTCTGGTGACTTCGTACTCCACCGTCTTCTTGGATTGCTCTCTAGTTGTTTATTCTTATTTGAGTCCAGATCCACATGAAATTTGGCAGTTTCTTTATTATCTGACATCAAGATGTTACAGGCTTATCTTATAAAGTTCCTGTACCAAACCTAGAGCCCATTTCTCTAAGAATCCCTAATTCCTTTTAGTTGGAAATGGCATCAAGAATCTAAGCACTACAGGTATGCTTTGCCACTGGGTTGATCATTGCCTTTTATGATTTGTTGATTGGTGGCAAAAAGGAGATATTTTCACCTCCTTCCTGCCCTCCCTTTTCTTGAGTCTCTCGAGTTGCTTCCTTTTGTGGGTTGGGTAGGTTTGTTTGTTTGGATTATTTTTCCTCCATGTGTTTCCTTTTGGATTATTTCTATTGCTATACCTTCAAGTTAACTGTTCTACAGTGTCTAATCTGCCATTTATTTATCCAGTGTGTTTTCATCTTTCACACTGTACTTTTCATCTCTAGAAGTTTTCAGTCTTTTTTTTTTTAATATCTTCCATGTCTTTACTTAACTTTTTGAACATGTGGAATACAGTCATCATAATCATTTACTATCCTTGTCTGCTAATTCTAACATCTGCGTTGGTTGGATCAGTTTCAAACGATTGATTATTCTAATTTTGGGTGCGATTTTTACTGCCTGGTAATCACATTGTGAGTTTTACCTTGTTTGCTGCTGGATATTTTGTATTCCTATAAAAAAATCTTCTTGAGCTTTGTTCTGGGATGGAATTGCTTGGAAACTGATCCTTTCAGATTTTACTTTTATGTTTTGTTAGGTGTATCCAAAGCAATGCTTGGTGTAGGTCTAATCATTCCCCTGTTCTGAGGCAAGACCTTTCTGAATATCCTATCCAATGTCCTGTGACCAAATTTTTCTAGTCTTTTTGGTGGGAAAAGGTACTGTTCCAAGCCTTATGCAAATACTGGGCTCTGTTCTCTCTAATCTTTTCAGATGGTTTTTTCCCTCTGCCTCTGCTAGCTTCTTCACATACATGTGCTTGTCGATACTCTGCTGAATACTTGCAGGGGACCCTCTGCAGATCTCCAGTTCTCTCTTTCTGCAGCACTGTGTTCTCTGGTGCCTTGTTCTAAATATTTACTGTAGCTGCCTGGCTCTCTCCAGACACTCAGCTCCATTTCTTCAACTTATGGAGTCTGCCTGGAAAGTCTTAAGATGGGGCAATCTTAGGGTTCAACTCATTTGTTTCTTTTTTTAGGAATCACTGCCCCTGTTGCTTGATGTCTGGAGTCTTCTGTTGTTTTATGTATTTTGTCTTGTTTTTTCAAGCAAGAGGGTAAATCCAGCCCCTGTTATTCAATCTTGGCTGAAGCAGAAGTTCATAGGTTTTATATTTAACTCTAAGAAATTGTTAACCAGTTTTCTAAAGTGGTTGTATCATTTTATACTAGCATAATATGAGTTCTTTTTTTTTTTCCTCCTCCCCGCCTATGAGTTCTAATTATTCTACATCCTAACCTATACTTGATGATGTTAGTCTTTTTTATCTTAGTCATTGCTGGTGAGTTTGAGATGGTATCATATTTTGATTTTTTAAATTTTATTCATGATTTTGAGACAAGGTCTTGCTCTGTCGCCCAGCTAGAGTGTAGTGACTCAATAATAGTTCACTGCAACCTCAAACTCCTGGGCTCAATTGATCCTCTTGCCTCATCCTCTCAGGTAGCTGGGACTAGAGGCATGAGCCACACTGCACGTGGCCCTCATTCTGTTTTTTTTTTTTTGAGACAGAGTCTCACTCTGTTGCCCTCTCTAGAGTGGATGCCACGGCATCAGCCTAGCTCACAGCAACCTCAAACTCCTGGGCTCAGGCGATCCTACTGCCTCAGCCTCCCGAGTAGCTGGGACTACAGGCATGCACCACCATGCCCGGCTAATTTTTTTTTTTTTATATATATTTTTAGTTGTTCAGATAATTTCTTTTTCTATTTTTTTTTAGTAGAGACGGGGTCTCGCTCTTGCTCAGGCTGGTCTCGAACTCCTGAGCTCAAGCAATCCGCCCGCCTCGGCCTCCCAGAGTGCTAGGATTACAGGCGTGGGCCACTGCGCCTGGCCCCTCATTCTGTTTTTAATTCACGTATTAGATGGTTATCCCCTGTGTTGCCCAGGCTGGTCTTGAACTCCTGGGTCCAAGCAATCCTCCTATCTCATCCTCTCAAAGTGCTGGGTTTACAGGCATGAGCCACACTGTACCTGGCCCTTTTTATGTTTTTAATTCATATATTAACTCCCTGTATTTTCCCTGTCCAGTAGCCTTGGATTTGGCCATTTTCCCAAAGAGCCCAGGCTTTCTTTTAGTGGAGAATCTTATTTAAAACAAAAGTCTGACCAAGCGCAGTGGCTCACACCTATAATCCCAGAACTTTGGGAGGCTGAGTTGGGAGGATCGCTTGAGCCCAGGAGTTTGAGACCAGCCTTGGCAACATAGTGAGACCCCATCTCTGCAAAAAATTTAAAAATTAGCCAGGCATGATGGTGCTTGCCTGTATTCTCAACTATTCAGGAGACTGAGGCAGAAGGATCACTTGAGCCCAGGGGTTGGAGGCAGTAGTGAGCTCTGATCACGCCACTGCTCTCTAAGCCTAGGTGACAGAGCAAGACCCTATCTCTAAAATCAGACAAACAAAAAAGTCTGGGTACTAGATTGTTACTATGTATGTATGTCTTAACTTCCTAGTATGTGTAGAAGCTTCTGGGGTAGAAGACATCAACACACTGCTAACATCCCGCAGTGCCCTGCACACTAGTAGTAGGCTAAAAGAGTATTCCTGTGTGGTGTGATCAGGACTTTCATACATAAAGAGAACACATGATGGCAGTAGAATCAAGATTAGTTTTGTAAACTACAGAGCATAAAGCAAGTCAGTTTCCTATTTTTTAAAAATGTTGGCATTTGCAATTTTTGGGTTAAGTTTTGTACATTGTCTTCTATGTGGGGAAGAATTTGTTATTCCTTGTTTTGAGACTCAGAGAGTGGGAGTTTTACTCTGGACATTAATTTTGATAATTAGGGAAGAAACTAATTTATCTGAATTTAATCAACAGCTTGACCCGGCGTGGCCCGCGCGGCGCCGGCGGAGGGACGTGGGGGAGGGGCAGGGAGGAGGACGCGGTGGCGGCTGCGGATGTGGCTGCGAACGAGCGCGCCTGAACGCACGGCGGCTGCCCAGCGCCCTACTGGGGCCTGCCCCGGAGCCCACGCCAAGCTCCGCGGCCCCTCATCCGCTAGGGCGGCCCTGCGCCCACTGCCACTGAGGCGGCGTGCGCTGCATTCTCTGCAGCCCGGGCCGGCCGGCTCTGGCGTCTGCTGGCTTCTTTTCGCTCGCCCGCTCCCTCCTGCTCGCCTGAGTCGCCGCCGCCGCCATGGCCGAGAGTGGTGAAAGCGGCGGCCCTCCGGGCTCCCAGGACGGCGGGCTCCCAGGACAGCGCCGCCGGGGCCGCAGCCTCTGCGGAGCCCAAGATCATGAAAGTCACCGTGAAGACCCCGAAGGAGAAGGAGGAGTTCGCTGTGCCAGCGAATAGCTCCGTCCAGCAGTTCAAGGAAGAAATCTCTATAAATGTTTCAAATCACATGCTGACCAACTCGTGTTGATATTTGCTGGGAAAATTTTAAAAGATCAAGATACTTTGAGTCGGCATGGAATTCACGATGGACTTACCGTTCACCTTGTCATCAAAACACAAAACAGGTCTCAGGATCATTCAGCTCAGCAAACAAATACCACTGGAAGCAATGTTACCACATCATCAGCTCCTAATAGTAACTCCACATCTGGTTCTGCTACTAGCAACCCTTTTGGTTTAGGTGGCCTTGGAGGACTGCAGGTCTGAGTAGCCTGGGTTTGAATACTACCACCTTCTCTGAACTACAGAGCCAGATGCAGCGACAACTTTTGTCCAACCCAGAAATGATGGTCCAGATCATGGAAAATCCCTTTGTTCAGAGCATGCTCTCACATCCTTACCTGATGAGACAATTAATTATGGCCAATCCACAAATGCAGCAGTTGATACAGAGAAATCCAAAAATTAGTCATATGCTGAATAATCCAGATACAATGAGACAAACATTGGAACTTGCCAGGAATCCAGCAAAGATGCAAGAAATGATGAGAAACCAGGACCGAGCCTTGAGCAACTTAGAAAGCATCCCAGGGGGATATAATGCTCTCAGGCGCATGTACACGGATATTCAGGAACCGATGCTGAGTGCCGCACAAGAACAGTTTGGTGGTAATCGATTTGCTTCCTTAGTGAGCAATACATCCTCAAGAGAAGGTAGTCAACCGTCCCGTACAGAAAATAGAGATCCATTACCCAATCCATGGGCTCCACCGGCTTCCCAAAGTTCACCAGCTTCCAGTGGCACCACCAGCACTGTGGGTGGCACTGCTGGTAGTGCAGCCAGTGGCACTGCTGGGCAGAGTACTACTGCGCAGAATTTGATATCTGGAGTAGGAGCTAGTATGTTCAACACACCAGGAATGCAGAGCTTGTTGCAACAAATAACTGAAAATCCGCAACTTATGCAAAACATGTTGTCTGCCCCCTACATGAGAAGCATGATGCAGTCACTAAGCCAGAACCCTGACCTTGCTGCACAGATGATGCTGAATAATCCCCTATTTGCTGGAAATCCTCAGCTTCAAGAACAAATGAGACAACAGCTCCCAACTTTCCTCCAACAAATGCAGAGTCCTGATACACTCTCAGCAATGTCAAACCCTAGAGCAGTGCAAGCTTTGTTACAGATTCAGCAGGGTTTGCAGACGTTAGCATCAGAAGCCCCAGGCCTCATCCCAGGGTTTACTCCTGGCCTGGGGGCATTAGGAAGCACTGGAGGCTCTTCAGGAACCAATGGGTCTAACGCTGCACCTAGTGAAAACATAAGCCCCACAGCAGGAACCGCCGAACCTGGACACCAGCAGTTTATTCAGCAAATGCTACAGGCTCTTGCTGGAGTAAACCCTCAGCTACAGAACCCAGAAGTCAGATTTCAGCAACAACTGGAACAACTCAGTGCAATGGGATTTTTGAACCGTGAGGCAAACTTGCAAGCGCTGATAGCAACAGGAGGTGATATCAATGCAGCTATTGAAAGGTTACTGGGCTCCTAGTCATCATAGCAGCATTTCTGTATCTCGAAAAAATGTAATTTATTTTTGATAACGGCTCTTAAAACTTTCAAATACCTGCTTATTTCATTTGACTCTTGGAATTCTGTGCTGTTGTAAACAAACCCAGTATGATGCATTTTAAGGTGGAGTACAGTAAGATGTGTGGATTTTTCTGTGTTTTTCTTCTCTGAAACAATGGGAGTCAATGCTTTTTCATTTAAGGCTACTGCATGCATCAAACACTTCTGCATTTATTGTAATTTTTTGAAAACATCACCTTATATAGTTTGGGTGAACAGGTTTTGTCCTGCATCTGTCCAATTTGCTTTTTAAACATTAGCCTGTGGTAGTAATTTATGTAGAATAAAAGCATTAAAAAGAAGCAAATCATTTGCGCTCTATAATTTGTGGTACAATATTGCTTATTGTGACTTTGGCATGTACTTTTGCAAACAAAATGCTGTAAGATTTGTACTACTGACAATTTTGGCTTTATTTGTATACAATATAGAGTATGCACATTTGGGACTGCGTTTCTAGAATCATACTGCAATAGGTTATCTGAGCAAAACACCTGTAACCAAAAAAGTAAGGATAAGGAAATACTCTCAGAGTTGAGTATTTTCTAATTGTATAAAATCTTACAGCATCTTTGATAAACATCTCCCAGCAAAAGTATCGGTTAGTCAGGTTTTTTTGAAAATATAGTAGAAAAGCTGATTCTGGTTATCTCTTTAAGGGCATTTAATTGTACAGACAACATAATGTAACATTGTCTCGACATTCACAGATTGACTGTAAATTAACCTTAATCTTTGTGCAGACTGAAGGAACACTGTAGTATACCCAAAAATGCATTTGCCTAGGACTTTTCAGCTTCTCCCATAGATAGTTTAACAGGCATTACAATTTGTAATTGAAATGTTGCTTTCACTGAAAGTGTCTTGATGTTTCAGTTATTTTTAATCACCATATAAAAATAGAACTATCTTTTGGGTTTATCTCTTTTCTCATGCACAGGCAATACATGGATTTAAAATGATTTGTGAGCCACTTGTTTCTGAAGTGTTTTGGTAGTTCTATTAAGAAATAGTTAAATATTGTGCTTTCAGAGCCTCAGAGAGTGGGGAAGAGGGGGGCAGTGGAATCTATCCTGGATTAGGCCAGTTTAAATAATACTGGCAACTAAGATTCTGTTAGGATTTCTGTGCATATAGCGTAGTAAAGAAGTATCATTCAGGGGTGAAAAACAAGAGCTGTTTTAAGAATGTTGAGTACATTTGGCTGTTCTGCATCCTTTTTCTTCCCTCCCCAGAGAAGTTCTGCCTAACTCTCAAACTGTTGGGGTGGTCCATTCCTTTAGGACCAATTAAAACATAATTTAGGGTCAGTAATATATTTGACTGACTCTGGTTCAGTATTCTCTTAGGTCATTCTCTCATGTACAGTTACAGGAAATTAAAATGTCAAAGTAACCTAAAATGAGTCCAGACCAATAAAATCAAGGGAAATACAAGTTGAATTCCGTTACTTCTACAAGTTGGCTTGCTATTACAAAAGGTCAAGGGGCCAGGTTGCTCACCAGTCCATGCACTGTTCTGACACTTTTCCCAGGAGGAAAATATGTGGAGGCATGACTAGAGATTATTAAGGATGGTATTCATGTGTCTTTGCTCTTTCTGCCTATGCCTCAGTCTGGTTTCAAAACTTTTGTACTGATGAGTGATGGTATACAGTGTGGGATAGTGTCATAACCAATTTGATGATTTATTAATCACAAAATAACAATAAATCTCTAGCTTTTAAAAAAAAAAACAACAGCTTGAGCCTAGTGTTTTCACTATTTGTATGTATAGGTTTCATTTTTCCTCTCACCACTGAGTGCATAATTTCACTGATAAACCAGTCCCCCACAATTTTCTGTTTCATGGATGCTTTCATTACTATAGCATTAGACTTTGGAATTTCAGAATATTGGTAGCTACCTATTTATTCAGTCAAGCTCTATCTTTTTATCCTGAAAGAAAATAATACATAACATTTTCATTGGGGCGGAATCTACCTTTTGTCTTGCCCTGTTCTACTTTTGTGCCTTTTTTTCCTCTCCTTAATGAACTCCTAGATATCTGCATGGTATTTGAAGTTTTGGGACATCATCTGCTCAAGTGGATCATCAAGTCCAACTACCAGGGGCTTCCACTGCCTTGTGTCAAAAAAATTATTCAGCAAGTATGTATTTTAGTCTTTGCTATATGGTAGTTTTTTAACATTCTCAAGATGTTGGGAGTTCCTACTTCCAATAGAATTTTTATTTTAAAAACTAGATTTTTAAAATTGTTTAATATGTTGTTCAACGCTTAAGGTTTATTGTGTTTATTTTGTTTTTAAATATTTTAGCCTAACCATTTTCCCCCAGGTTCATCTCCTGTAACAAAAGGGAAAGCTGTGTAAGGTACCTGACTTTGGAAAATTGGAGCTCCAAAAATTCTGGTTGCAAATATTAATTATATATTAATAGAGAATTGCTATGCTAAATTATTACATAGCCTTATTCCTGGTGATTTTCTAAATAGCCTTCAATATGTGGTATAGAATTTTACCATCGGGAAAATATTAATACTTTAAGGGGCAGATAATTTGTTTGAATAATGTGGCTTGGAAAGAGCTCCAAACTGGGCAGCAAGAGACCTCAGTTCTTCATCAATGAGGAAATTTGCATTAAAAGATATCTAAATCTCTGTTGTCACCTACATTTCAGCACTTAAAGCGTGTGTTGAACGTTTATTCTCAGTCTTTATAATGTACATAAAGAATATTTCCAAATAGAATTAGCTTTGTAAAACTTAGAAGAACTTTACAATTCTTGCCTTTGTTCATAGTTTACAACAAATTCTTTCTACGAAAGTTTCCTTGTGCTTTACAAAGTACTTTATTTTCTGTAGAAAACATTATCATATTGGTTTTTAAAATGGTGTGTTATGATTTCTTCCTTCTTCCCAAAGACTTGTATTTTGTGTTTGTAAGTCTACTGCTCTATTTCCATTCAGGTGTTACAGGGTCTGGATTATTTACACACCAAGTGCCGTATCATCCACACTGACATTAAACCAGAAAACATCTTGCTGTCAGTGAATGAACAGTACATTCGGAGGCTGGCTGCAGAAGCAACAGAATGGCAGCGATCTGGAGCTCCTCCACCTTCCGGATCTGCAGGTGTGTTTTCTTTTGGGGACTTTTCTCTCATTAGAAGTTGAGAGAAATTTCTATTTTTCTTCTGTTACCAGGGAGTTAAATAAATACTACTCAATCATTTAACAATATAATATTTTAAGAAATATTATCAACCTTTAGAGACTTATTTTATTCTCTTTATTGCTCCCATATGGGGAGGAGAAAACTAGACATTGTGTCTTTTAGGTACAGATATGTTGTATATTATACAAGCCAGTTTGTATTGTTTTAAACGTTTTTTTCTTACAATTTGATGACCATTTTTGATGTATTTACCTCTTACTATGATTACACATTCTTGCTTATGGATTAGCAATCTGCAGAGGGGCAAGATAACATTGCTGTTAAGAGCTCTCATTTAAGCACTGTAGTACACAGACCTGGGTTTGAATCTTGGCTTTGTCATTGACTGAGAGACCTTGGCTGCCTTACTTGACTTCATTTTCCTTCATGTAGGAGTTATTTGGATTAAATACCATCATAAATATCATAGTGTGCCACACAATATTATGTGCTAAATCAATTATGGCTGCTTTGATTATGATGATTTTTTTTTTCCATTTGAGATGCAGATTTTAATTTTGGTAGTTGAATCACATTTGAGGAACTTTCTTGATCCTCAAGTTGAAATATCAGTTATCAGACTTCCTTTCAAAAGGAAGGCTGGAGAAGGCAAAAATGGGGAGTTGATCAATGGGTGTAGTTTTTGTTTTGCAAGATGTAATAGTTCTAGAGATCTGTTACACAACAATATGAATATAGTTACCACCACTAAACTGTACATTTAAGAATGAGTAAGAGGGTAAATTTTATACTGCCTGTTTTTTTACCTCAGTTACAAATATTTTAAAAAGAAAGGAAGACTGAAAATCCCCACCTTCCACCTAAAGAGCTAAACTGTAAACTACTGTCCATGACATGCTTATATAGCAAATTAATATAATTTTTTTTTCCCTTTAGAAACAGGGTCTCACTGTGTTGCCCAGGCTAGTCTCCAACTCCTGGGCTGAAGCCATCCTCAGCTTCCCAAGTAGTTTGGAATACATACATGTGACACTGTACCCGACTGAATTACTATAGCTCTTGATGTCACCTAAATTCCCCCTTTAAAACTGACGAATGCAAGGAGGAAGAGTTAGAGATGGGTGTCCTGGGTAGGAATGAGGAGATTGTTGTTTGTCCCTTTCTATTTTAAGCAGTACATGGGAATTAGAAGTAGGTGATTTTAGCACATTAATAGTGGAAACCAGAAATGGGAACTTGATTCTATTACACATATTGATGCTACCTGAGGAAGAATTTAATTTAAACTTTTTTTAAGTTTGGCAACTTATGTATGCATTGTTTTCTTAAAAAATAGTAATAGACATGGTGGCACATGCCTATTGTACCAGCTACTCAGGAGGCTGAGTCAGGAGGATTGCGTGAGCCCAGGATTTTGAGACCAGACTGGGCAATATAGTGAGACACTATCTCCACTACTATTACTAATGTGGCTTCTAACAAAGTCACTTAAAAACTATAGTTTTCTCTGCAGTGTAGGCTGTATAAGATAGACTTTTCATTCTGGTGGGGTGTCTTAACTGAGCTGTAGTTTATATTGCCTGCTGAATGCCAGGATTCTTACTTGGTTTTCTTTTCTTTTCAGTGAGTACTGCTCCACAACCTAAACCAGTAAGTATAAGGTGTTTATATATTTAATTCTGATCTGTGGGCTATAAGTATGGGTTCTTCTGTTATGGATGGTCACAGTTTTTGAGTTTGGAAACCAAAGGAAAAGAAATTCCTGCGCTTCTGTAATTTTCTCCGATAAATTTCCATGCAACTTCAGCAAGTTTGTACTGGTGAGGCTTCTATAAATTCGAGTTAGTCTGAATTTAAACCAGCCCCACAGACTGCTCAGAAGACCAAGACTGTTGTTGATTCTGTTTTTATTTGGTTTCATAAGAATATGTGCATCTTTTAAATTAATGAAAAACTGAAGTGCTGTGTTAGGGAAATAGTGAAATTTAATTAGGAAGTAATTAAAATTAACAGTTATCTCCAACTAGGGGTAATGGATTAGCCACCTGAAGGCTTAATCTGTTTGTAATCTCCGCCCAGGCTGACAAAATGTCAAAGAATAAGAAGAAGAAATTGAAGAAGAAGCAGAAGCGCCAGGCAGAATTACTAGAGAAGCGAATGCAGGAAATTGAGGAAATGGAGAAAGAGTCGGGCCCTGGGCAAAAAAGACCAAACACGCAAGAAGAATCAGAGAGTCCTGTTGAAAGACCCTTGAAAGAGAACCCACCTAATAAAATGACCCGAGAAAAACTTGGTATAAATAGAGCATCACAAAAATTACTTTATGACACACTTTAACATTAATTTATCATTGTTATATGATATAGTGGTTTCGTGCATACAATATGTCTCTGGGGGTGTCCTTATAAGGATACAGATGTTGTCATAAATGTTAGGCAGGTAACATTCAAATGTAATTTCTAACTTTTCTCAGGAATCGGAACATAGTCTTCATTAGTAATTGGGTAAGGATAAAAAGATTTTTGTCCTTCCATAAATAGGTGTTAGATGTTCAGTCATATTTTTATGTCACTGAGTATTAAGTTCTAGAAAATGTTTTAATCTTGTGAGAAATTTTTCTGTTCTTTCACTCACACATATACACATACATCCTTTTTTGTTTGTTTGTTCTTTAGAAGAATCAAGTACCATGGGCCAGGATCAAACACTTACGGAACGTGGTGTAGAGGGTGGTGCAGCAGAAATTAATTGCAATGGAGTAATTGAAATCGTTAATTATACTGAGAACAGTAATAATGAAACATTGAGGCTTAAAGAGGATCTGCATAATGCTAATGACTGTGATGTCCAAAATTTGAAGCAGGAACCTAATTTCCTAAGCTCCCAAAATGGAGACAGCAGCACATCTCAAGAAACAGACTCTTGTACACCTGTAACCTCTGAGGTGTCAGATACCATGTTATGCCAGTCTTCCTCAACTGTAGATCAGTCATTCAGTGAACAGGACATCAGCCAGCTTCAGGAAAGCATTCGGGCAGAGCTACCCTGTGAAGATGAACAAGAGCAAGAACATAATGGACCACTGGACAACAAAGGTACCTGTGCAGATATACTTCCCCAACATTTCCCGTACACACATTCATGAATATCTCAACCAAAAGTATCCCTGTTTTTTTAACTAGATCTTTATAGCAGGTGTCTCAAATTATTTTCAGTGTGTAGATCTGTAGCTAACTTTAAATTTTACTTGTGTACTGGGAGCACAGCATTTCACTTACTGCTGTGAGGAACTTGTGCTGTTTTTATTTAATTCTAGAAATTTAATGTGTACTTTGCTCTTCATATCATTAGAGTTTTGGGTTTT